ACTAAATGAGGTTTGTAAGTTGAGGACTACCTGTATGTGTTATGTGTGAGCAAAAATCCTAATGACAAGATCCCAGATTTCTTTAAATTCAGTTTGCATTTAAATAAATCCAAGGCCTTCATCAGGTCTGCTTATAGCCTCCATTGTGGCTGAAGGCAACATGAGGTGAGATGGGCAGAAAGGGATTGTTGTTGTTAGTTGCGAAGTTGTGTCCGACCCATCGTGACCCCATGGACAACTTTCCTCCAGGCCTTCCTGTCCTCTACCATCCCCCGGAGACCATTTAAGCTCATGCTGACTGCTTCAGTGACTCCATCCAGCCACCTCGTTCTCTGTCGTCCAATTCTTCTTTTGCCCTCAATCGTTCCCAGCATTAGGCTCTTCTCCAGTGAGTCCTTCCTTTTTCATTAGGTGGCCAAAGTATTTGAGTTTCATCTTCAGGATCTGGCCTTCTAAAGAGCAGTCAGGGTTGATCTCCTCTAGGACTGACCGGTTTGATCGCCTTGCAGTCCAAGGGACTCGCAGGAGTCTTCTCCAGCACCATAGTTCAAAGCCTCAATTCTTTGACGCTCAGCCTTCCTTATGGTCCAACTTTCACAGCCATACATTGCAACTGGGAAAACCATAGCCTCGACTATACACATTTTTATTGGCAGGGTGATGTCTCTGCTTTTTACTATGCTGTCTAACTTTGCCATAGCTTTCCTCCCCAAGAGAAAGCGTCTTTTAATTTCTTGGCTATAGTCTCCATGTGCGGTGATCTTGGAGCCCAGGAAAATAAAATCTGTCACTACCTCCATTTCTTCCCCATCTATTTGCTGGGAATTGAGAGGGCCAGGAGCCATGATCTTAGTTTTCTTAATGTTGAGTTTCAAGCCAACATTTGCACTCTCCTCCTTCACCTCATCAGAAGCCTCTTTAGTTCCTCTTCACTTTCTGCCCTTAGAGTGGTATCAGACAGGGATCGAATGTGCAATCCAGTGGTGGGTTACCCCCGGTTCGGATCAGTTCGCAAGAACCGGTAGTAAAACCGGAGGGACGCTCTGCCCACTGACCCTGATGTCATCAGGAAGCTTCTGGGCATGCGCAGAAGCATGCGCGCCAGGGGTGGGTTCTACTTACCTTTACTACCAGTTCACATCGTGCCCGCGCGCGCATGTGCAGATCAACTTTGATGATGTCCGGGTTAGTGGGCGGAGCCTCTGGCCCGTTTTACTACCGGTTCTTGCGAACCAATCCAAACTGGGGGCAACCCACCACTGGTGCGTGTGCGACCCCATTGTGAACCCACCCCTGGTGCAATCCCATTAAACAGACATAAGGAACATATAAAAATTAGGTCTATTAAAAATAAATAAACTCTGCCTTCTAAACACCAGGCAAAAGGGGTGTGTCTTGGCTATTTTTCTAAAGCAGAAAGGAGCCAAAGATCACTGCTCGGGCAATGCATTTAACAAATTGAATTTGCACAGTCCTGTTTCCCTTGGATTCTAATTTTACTGACGTTTAGTTTGTTTCAGCTATTAGTCTGTAAATTCATAAGAAAAAAAAAAGTCTTGGATGAAAATCTAAACTCATTGCTGCATTTTACTATTTGCAATTTTGTATTCTTTGCATTGCATTTGTATTCTTTCTCATGTATTTTTTTGAAAATATCACTAATGTTGTACTTCTGTAAATATTTCCACACACTGTATTTAGTGAATATTTCCCCCTATAACATTTGATGAGCCTTTTTGATTTGCATATGCTATTAAATTTGGAATAGTGAGTATTTCAACATGCATGCGTACTCAACCTTTAAGAACAAAACCTCATTCAGACTGAACTATTTTTTAAAAAAATCTTCAGTTTAGCTTTCAGCTTAGGACTTAAATGGTAGATTTTTATGCTTTTAATACTTTATTTTTTGATTTGTTTGAATATGCAGTAATTATAAAGCTTTTTTTTTTTTGGGTAGAGGGATGGTATAAAAACAAAGAAGCAAAACCACATTCCAAAATATTGGATTCTCTCGCCCAGCAGACAATCATATTCACTAGAATATAAATTAAACAAACCTCCCCAAAGCTTAAATCCCAATGATGTCAGAAAAGTAAAGTGTCTCAATCTATTCTATGCTACCTGGGCTAATATTTACAGTTTCCAATCTTTTCTTTATTTATTTTGTGGACTGCCACTGAAAGCATTTGCTGATCACCATGTAGAGTAGACAAATACTAGAACTTGAGTACCTCCTGAACTGGCATCTGTGAATAAAAAGATATTTTTAAAAATCTAAATGTTAAGGATCTTGTGAGATCACCAAATTCTGGGAGACTTAAGTGCAATGAAACTTCAGGGAAAGCAGAAAAGTCTCAAGATTTGGCCATTTTTTGAGACTTAATAAGAAACGCAGTGGCTCAGTGGCTAAGACACTAAGCTTGTCGATCGAAAGGTTGGCAGTTCAGCGGTTCGAATCCCTAGTGCCGTGTAATAGGGTGAGTTCCCGTTACTTGTCCCAGCTTCTGCCAAACTAGCAGTTCTAAAGTACGTAAAAAATGCAAGTAGAAAAATAGGGACCATCTTTGCTGGGAAGGTAACAGCGTTCCGTGCACCTTTGGTGTTTAGTCCTGCCGGCCACATGACCACGGAGATGTCTTCGGACAGTCCTGGCTCTTCAGCTTTGAAATGGAGATGAGCACCACCCCCTAGAGTCAGGAACGACTAGCACATATGTGTGAGGGGAACTTTTACCTTTACCTTTAAAGGCACTATGGAAATTTGATCCATTTCTCAAGTTAGGGGATCCTTCACCAAACAGGCTACCAGTCACTCTTTTGGTAAAGTATGATTAGCCTGCTACAAATCCTCCTTATAGATTTTATTAGTTCTCCCTCTAGATAGCACCAGGTTTTTATTTATTTATATATATTCTGGTGCAGAATTCTGCATTCTGGTCTTAATAGCTTCTGATCATTTTTCTCATAAAAAATCTAGAATACTGAATACCATCCCACCTCCTCTTCTTATGTCTTAACAAGAGTGCATGAGGAAGGATTCTTGATATAGTATCTGTTCTGGATATGAATTCAGGATGGTCATTTCTTGGTGTTGCTCATTGCTTGGATCCTCAAAATTCTGTGTTTGCTTTTTGCTTCAAAGCTTGCTGAGAAATGAGATATTTAATTCTGATTTAGTCAGATGTGGCAGATGAAATGCCATTTTTTTTTTTGGTTCAGTAGGGTCTCTGATGTTCAGTTTTGAGCTAAAATTTTATCACAGCTGAGCTGAGTTGGCCCTGTTGCTCTGATTTTCACTATTTGGGTTGGAATCAGTTGAGGGAGTGGTCTGCATATCTCCAGCAATGTTATCCACATGCTGAAATGAATTCAATTGAAAAGTATCCTCAGAAGAAATCTACCCTCAATGGAATCTTCTAGTTCTGTAGCGTGCTTCAAGATGTCATTGGAGATGAATTTGGACGCTCCTTTGTAGGAAAAAACTAAAGTTTAAATTCCCCCAAAAGCAAATGGTTTGAAAGACTCACTACCCACATGTTTCATATATTCCTTGAAGTCTCACTGAATTTTGCCTAGAGAATTTTTTTTTAAAAAAATTAGAAATGTATAAAAGGATGTCAGGAATGTTGAGATCATTTATTAAATTTCTGGAAAGTGACAGAAAGAAATGGCTATACTTAAAAAAAAACATTTTAACAACAAAATCTGTAAAGAGTTCATTGCAATTGTATATAATCTCAAAACTTGCATTATAGCCAACCCATACATGTTCATGTTTTACCCAGCATGTTAAATACATCTAGGAAATGACATGATACACATGATACAATCCCTTGCCTACTTGGTCATTACACATAGAGTGAAACTTAGAAAATCTTTTCCTGCCCATTATTTATTCCATTTCTCCCAAGTTTCCCAAATGGAAATAAATTGAATGACGCTAGCAGAAGACTAACAATAAAGGAATCACGCGGTTCCTTTTGACCCAAGGCAGGATCTTATTTCTTAAGTCTTATCTCAGATCTGTACAATAAAGACATTTAGTGTCTTAGGTCCCCTCCTAACCTCCAAAAAAGCACACTGCCCCTTTTTATATTAATACCTGTATTTCAAGACTTAGTGCCAAAGAACATAGTGCCTCCAGAGACGGGAAGGCATTAACTGTCACAGGTAAGGGGAATGTAATTAAAACTAAACGGTCTGAAAATACTGGATCTTAAGGGAATTAGTAGAGTAGTACGTGCTTGCTCTTATGCCCTATTTCTGAGTGCCGTTGGGTTAGCCAACTGGATCAATTCTGTGGAATTCTTTTCTATGTTTTCCAAAACTAACACGAATGCTTGCCCTTCCCCTCAATAACACGTTTTTCACTTCCACCACCAGCGGCTGTGTTAGACACACATGCATGCACACACATGCCCAGGGAAAATCCGATGCATTGATTAGAAGTGTAATAATTAAGCAAAGGGGGTGGGACGATCAGAATGAAAAGGGGTTTTCAGGTTGTTGGGGGGTTTTTTTGCAGCAGGGAAAAAGAAAAGAAAAAAGAAACGAGCTCCAGAAACCATGCAAGCAAACTCGCAACAGCAAAATGTGAACAGAAAGGACCGGACTGGACTGCAAACCTCTACAGCTCACCAATCCTTTTCAGACACAAATGGTTCTCTGCTCACCCTGCTTTTTAAGCTATATCGCTGACCATTTCTTCCCTGCTTCAATGGAAGCAGGTGTCCTTGATGCCTGAATGATTTTTATAGCTCCCATGCACTGGGATTTTTAAACCCCGCTAAACCTTTTGCATGCTGTTTGTTTCCACTTCTGGGTCTGGAGGAAAAATAATGGCGACATAAACTTCCATCGTGAGGTGAAATCAACTTAAATCTGGCAAATCTTTCATCGCTTCGCCTCCTTTGTTTCTGAATTTCTATTAAAAAGGCATTTCTGCTCCTTTACATTCCCGAGCCCTTATGGAAAGGAAAAAAAGGGGGGTGTACCTACCTTTTCGGAAGCTGAAACATCGCTTAATCCTCCTGTAAGTAGTTTTGGGAACAAAAGGAGACGATGCCAGGGTACCTGAGGCACGGACCCCCGTATTCCTGTCTTCAGGCATCATGCGGGCCTCAGAAAGAGTTGCTAGCCCCAAAGCAGATGCGAAGACTACTTTGTGATGTCATGGTGCCATCAATCATTCTTATTTACTACTGTTTTGTCTTCTCATCTTCACTCCTGAGTATCTGAGACTGTTGATGTTCTCCGCCTCAGGTGGCACACTTTCAAGAAAAAGGGGTTTGCCCCTTTCCTTCTTTGCCAGTGGTTTTCGGAGGGTTTCGTTTCACCCTTCCTATGTTCCTTCGCTTCGAGCTTCTGGTTTTATTTCCTGTGGAACGGTCGCAGTGTCCTACCACGTTGACGAAAGCATCTCAACCCTCATTGTTTGTGGAAGGTACCACAGGGGTGCTCCGTGGCACGGTTTGGGGGGTGGTGGTGGAAACCGTGCCTCTTCTCAGCTGGAACTGTACAGGGTGGAGCAACTGGGAAAGGGGTGGTGGTGGCAGAGACTCCCGTGCGAAAGGTCAGCGAATAGCAATGCATAAATGGAAGATGAGAACAATGACCAAAAATGGACCCCCCAAAGAATTGCGTCGGAGGTTCTTGGGATGATTCCTTTTTTATCTCAGTAAAGAGGGAACAAAAATCACGACAGCATCTCCCCAGAGGCTCCACTGGTCCATTAGAGATGCTCTTCAAAAAGCTGCTTCTTCCACACACACACCTTCATTATTATGCAAGAAAATGCTTTCCCTTCAGATAGTCTGGATGATTTCTTGCCTTCCTCTCTCCCGGCTCTTGTGGCAAAGGCATCCACTGTTCATCAGCACACTGCCTTCAAGTTCCTCGCTGGATTGGCTGAAGCACGCACGCCTCTTCCAAGGGATGTCACTGCCAAGCTTTTCCCCATCCAACTAGTCTCAATGGAAAGGTTTCAAAGGCTGCGGCTGCTGTTGGCGCTGCTGTTTTCGACCACTGTTTGTTGTTGGGGTTTTTTTTTGCTTTCTGCTCCAGCCTGCTGCAAGCGTGTGGCAGGTGCGAGCAAAACAATATAAAGCAGGCATAAGCGAAGCCGAGCAGCCTCAGCAATGTTGATTTTCTAAAAATGTTGACTTTGACTTGACTTCAAAGAAATGTCACGTGTGTGAGTGTGTGTGTGTGTGTGTGTGTGTGGCAGTTTTAAGAGCCCCTTTGCTTCTGGCAGAGGCATCCCACTTCCCCCTCCCTCACTCGCCTGTCCCATTAATCTTTCCTGCTCCGGGGGTCCCCTTGAGTTCCACCCTATGTCGACTTTCATGCTGTGTAATCAAAGCTTGTTTTTACTCCTATCAAGAGCGGCAACAAAAAAATGTCACCTTCTAAATCTAATTAGGAAAGAATTTAATTCACCGGGAAACATTCAGGGAGCGAACCGGAATTCTTGCCAATGCTGTTAAGCCTGTTTTTGGTATCTTCTTTGTCCTCACCCTCCACAAACAATTATTTTTCAGAGGGTTTCTTTTCCAATCTACCCCCTTCCCTGGTACAAGTTAACATCACAGTTTAATAAACCAGTTAATAATTTGCAGAGCTCCTGCTCTGTGAGCAATTGCCTCTGCACTAGGCTTGCCAGAAGGTCACCCCAAATATTAGGGTTTTACCAAAGGGCACAGATGCATTTTTTTTTCCTCAACAGTTCAGAAAACATGCTTTTCATTCCAGCGAGATGGGATGATGGATGCAAGTCTTGAAACGCACACGCAAAGCAGATTTTTTTCTTCCAGGTTTTTTTCCCCCCTTCTTCTCTTGCTCCTTTCATTTCAAGCCAGATTTATTTTTTTTTTATCAAAGGCCAGCACAATTTGAAACCCATCACTGCTCTCCAGCTAGTCATGTCTAGTGATCCAGGACAAGGTTGATACATTCCTTATTTATTTTTTTTCTATCCCTATGCAGAATTTCAAAAACGATAGGAAGGCAGAGCTGGCAAGCAACCGAAAGGCAACCATAGATCAGTGGTGGGTTTCAAAAAAATTTACTACCAGTTCTGTGGATGTGGCTTGGTGGGCGTGGCTTGGTGGGTGTAGCAGGGGAAGGATACTGTAAAATCTCCATTCCCACCCCACTCCAGGGGAAGGTTACTGCAAAATCCCCATTTCCTCCCTTATCAGCTGGGACTTGGAAGGCAAAGAATAGATGGGGATGGGGCCAGTCAGAATTTTTACTACCGGTTCTCCGAACTAATCAAAATTTCTGCTCCCGGTTCTCCAGAACTGGTCAGTACCTGCTGAAACCCACCTCTGCCGTAGATGACTTAGTTTTGCTTAGTAGGTGAAATGTTGCAAGGCTAGGCTTAAATATATGGAAATTTAAAAGCGGAACGAGATGAGGAAAACAAAAGAGCATTTAAAATAATATCGGAAACCGCCTTTTGTCTAGGCAGATTATTTTGCCATCTAGCCCAGCCTTGCCAACTCTGAATGATGGCAGCTTTCCAGGGCCTGTGGCTAAGAAGTATCTTTGCCTCCACCTTCTATTTAGAATATCTTTTTTAGGAATATCCGACACTGAAACTGCAACCTCACACATGCAAAACAGTGCACAATCTCCACGAAATATGATGCATCCATAGAGCAAAAGAGAAGGCTGGATTATCTGCAGCTTCATGGCCCTGCCTGGATGCTGTTTTTTCCCATTTTTTAATACCGAAGACTCAGGAACATTATTTATTTGTTTGTTTGTTTGTTTGTTTGTTTGTAATTTAATTTAATTTAATTTAATTTAATTTAATTTAATTTAATTTATTATTTTATTTTATTTTATTTTATTTTATTTTATTTTATTTTATTTTATTTTATTTTATTTTATTTTATTTTATTTTATTTATTTATTTATTTATTTATTTATATGCCGCCCTATCTCCGTAGGACTCAGGGTGGCTCACAACAATAAAATATCCAATAAAATGTGTTAAAATACATGTTAACCCCCCCCAGTCCAGGTTGAATAACCATGTCTTTAAGTTGCGGCGGAAGGTGCGGAGGTCAGGGGCCAACCGGAGCCCCAGAGGAAATTGGTTCCAGAGGGTGGGAGCACCCACAGAGAAAGCTCTGCCTCTAGGGGTCGCCAGCCGACACTGTCTAGCTGACGGCACCCTGAGTAGGTCCTCCCTGTGAGAACGCACCGGGCGATGGGGAGCTGTTGCTGGTTGCAGATGGTCCGATAAATATCCTGGGCCTAAACCATGAAGGGCTTTATAGGTCATCACCAGCACCTTGAATCTCACCCAGAGGGCAACCGGCAACCAATGCAAGGCACGCAGGAGAGGTGTAACATGGGCGTATCGGGAACCACCCATCACGACCCATGGGTCTTCCACAAACACACGTTTTATGTTGCTAACAAAAGGACTCCACTTATTTATTCAAGCAACATATTAGGGAAAACAGGAATGGAAGAAAATGACCGTGGTTTTAAAACTGGAGGAAGAAATATCAATAACCTGAATAATGCTGATGACTACCCCGGCAACGTAAAATTCAGAGCATCTGCAAAATCAGATTGATTTAAAAATCAAAGGGTACAATGAAAAAAAATGGGACCAAGAGTAAATATAAATAAGACCAAACTAATGTCAACATGTAGCAAAAATAGCCTTAGAATTGGCAATGAAGATTTCAAAGTGGTGGATAGCGTCTGTCTTTTTAAATCAACCATCAACAGTCAGACAAACACTTGGTAAGACGGCCACTTGGAAAAGATATTCTAATGCAGGGGTGGGATTCTACGGTTCAGTAGCTCCGACGATCAGCTGGGAGCGAACTGGTTCGCTCCGACGATCAGGTCAGCCCACCCACCCCGCCTCTGCACTTTACTTACCTTTATCTTCTCAGCTGATTGGCGCGGCAGAGCGGATTGCTGCGCCTCAGTTGTGTTACTCCCAAGTGATAACCTAGAAGGTTAGTATTTGTAAAACTGTGCATGCGCGCAAAGTGCGTGCGCGTGTGCAAAGCGTGTGATCACCAGACCGGTTGTTAAACTGGCAACATCCCACCACTGTTCAAATGCTATGATGTGTCGATACCCATAAAGCCCAGAATTACCTCGGGCACTCTTTGGAAGCAAAAATTGGACTTTGAAGAAGCAAGATCAGGTGAGTATTGACACTCTTGAAGGTGGAGAAGACTCCTGAGAATTAATTTTTTTAAAGTTAATGAATTATTTAACAAGGGTTTGCAGTCTAAACTTAAAGACAGTACAGTCATGGAACAGACGCCACAATTTCTTGGTTTCTCAAGACTGATGGCATGTCTAAGTTTTGAGGACCTTCTGGAAGGGCAGTAGGATTGGGGCCAGGGGTGAGATTGAAAAAGTTTAGCAACCGGTTCTCTCCCCGGTTGCTGGGTGGGCATGGCCATGGGGGTGTGACCTAATCGGCTTCCTGCACCACAGTGGAGGGGTGTTTTCACCCTCCCTAGGCTCCGGAGGCTTTCCTCAAGCCTCTGTGAGGGTTAAAATGGCCTCCCCCAGGCTCCGGAGGCCCTTCAGAGGCCGGAAATGGGCCTGTTTCCAGACTTCCAGGAGGTCCATTTTTCGCCTTCCCGAGGCTCCAGAGGCTTTTCTTGAGCCTCCCTGAAGGTGAAAATGGCCTCCCCTGGGCTCCAGAGGCCCCCCCAGAGGCCCGTTTCCAGACATCCGGTACTTCCGATAATTTTTCTCCCTTCCCAGAGTACAGAAACCCCAAATATATAAAATCCCAGTCAAAGCTGTTCAATCTTTCCGGGGTTCAATCAAAGCTTGTTTTTCCCAATCCAGATCCCCACCAGCTTCCAGGCACTGAGAGAAGACATCAGCCACATTACTTAGCTGATCTGGTGTGAAGATCTATAGCTTACTTCTCTCCATGATGATAGATGATCTCATTCAGCAGCTTCATGTAGTTATTTAATAGTAGGTAGGTGCCAAGAGCTGCACTTCTTGCTTCCAATTACACCAATTATACTAATTGGAAATGGCCTTGGAGAAAGTGAACTGGTGCAATACAGTGTTACTCAGTCTCAATGCCCCAAAGTTAGTCCAGGAGAAAACTATGGTTGATGGTATCAAAAACCACTGAGAAGTCAAGTAGAGTCAAGATGGATGTCCAGTCAAGTTCATCTTTCGTTGATGTCTAGGAGGAGAAACTCTACTGTTTCCTGTTTTATCCCCCTCAGCTCTTCTGTAAATTATGGTGAGAGATGGGAACCATGGGAAAGAAGAGATTGCATGGCTGTGATCTGACCCAAGGCCACAGTCATCCTCTCATTTTAAGTGGCAACCAGGAACAACCTTTAGCTCCCTCTGGAACCCTTCTGGGTCCATCAGATGCCAGAGTTGGATCAATCTAACATCTTCCATCTTCCTGAATGGGAGGGAAGCACCAGAGAATCTCATAGTCACTTGGGAGCTATGTGATAATGGCAGGGGTTCACAAAGAACTCCCCCAATTCCAGATCATGTTGCAACTGCCCTAAAGAGAAAACCCAATCACCTGTGAAAACATTGCCTTAAGCCAGGCTCTGGATGACTTGAGATAGCCCCATGACTGTCTTGGTGGCCATGAACACTCAAGCCACTTCAATCTACCTCCAAGAGAAAGTACAGTAGTGGCCAAAATTGTGGAAATCTTTTGGGAAAAGTGTATTTTTGAGGTTTGATGGCTAATAACATCACTTTTTTTTTTTTGAGTTTCAAGATAATCATATTCCACTGCTGGAATGGCCTGGGAATAGCCCAGACCTTAACCCAATTGAAAAGCTATGGAGCCGACTAAAGAAACTTGTTAGTCAGAAGCGACCCAACAATAAAACCCAGTTAATAGAAGCAATCATTCAATCTTTGTTTCACATGATAACAGCTGCAGAATTAAAAGACTTGGTTCACTCCATGGGAAGATGTCATAAGGCCATAAGTCATGCTAAAGTTTATCCAACTAAGTATTAACTGACATGGTGATAATGTTTGTATATCTCATTTTTACTACGTGTTTCACTTTTCTTCTTTATCCTGTAACTGCTATTCTAATAGCAATCCTTCCTAAAAGTTATTGCATTGCATTCTTGATTAAATTATCTTTCC